GAGAGAGAGAGAGAGAGAGAGAGAGAGAGAGAGAGAGAGAGAGAGAGAGAGAGAGAGAGAGAGAGAGAGAGAGAGAGAGAGAGAGAGAGACCCCCGGAGGTCTGCTTCACAGATCGCGAACGCCAACACCCCCAGGACTAATGGCTTACTCGTGGTCTGGTCCCATAGCCTTCGCAGGGTGGCCGACAGTACTGCTTTCTTAACGCATTTCGCCGAGTACAAGTCGTAGTCCTGCATCGTTTGGAACATTAGCATTCCCATTTCCTGAAGAGAGTCAGAGTTCTTGGTACAGGGGACATAATGCAGCCCCAAGGGTGGTCCGCTGATGAACATTTGTCCCCCCACGAATGGCCACGTGAGGCCGCATTCGTCCTTCCTCACGATCTCCAGGTGCGCATCGTAGATGTCTTCGAACTCCTTAAAGACGTGGTCCGGCTGAAGTAGACCGACCGATCCGACGACAAGTGTAATATCATCCATTAGGCGCCAGCCGGCTACCAGTCTTCTGTCTGAGCCTAAGCCCTTAATGAACTGTAACTCGGCCATTGCGCAAGTCACTGCGGCGAGCACTGGGCTTGTGGACTTCCCCATCGGGATGCCAAACACCTGTTTCACCACCTTGTCCCCACATTTAAAAACTGCATGCGTCAAATCATATCGGATAGCCTCCATAATCTTCCTGAGGGTGATCCCTACGTAACCCTCTGCTTTCTTCTTGTTTTGACTGATGACAGACAACCTCCCCCTCAGAGAGACCCGAACCTGCTTGCATCCGTCGTCCTCGTACCTTCTCAGCAGCTGATGTACCGCCTGGATCACCGCCTCATGCGGAATCCTGGAAAACATCTCTTTTATGTCGTAGCACCTCCCGACTACTTGGGTGCACCCCGCTGATCTCAGTCTCTGCGTAGCTGCGTTGAGACGTTCCGCCAGATCACCCACCGAATTGAGGAAAAAGGTACTGTTAGCAGGTAGGCGGGTGAGTAAGTAATGCAGCGCCCTTGCAGTCCTCTTAGTCGCCAGATTAGTTGGATCCGCTGGGGCCGGTGCAATGGGTAGCCAGCGTGCGAGATCTTTGTGTTTCGGGATCACGTATGCTGTGCCCAGTCGACTGTCCGGTCTCCATTTCCTGATCGAGTCTAGCCCACTAGCCAAGAACTCCTCCCTAGACTTTCTCAAATAGCTGTTTCGTCCTCTGCCCCGCCAATGGTAACATAGTTGGAATTCCAAGCAAAGGTCTTCCCGAAGCCGTGCCTGTATAGTACTGGACAGAAAACCGTTGTGTCCCCCTGGTTCTGGTCAATGGGGGTCAGCACCAGTCCATCAAATCGAGTGCCCCACTCCCTAACCTGCTCGTCCATCCATGCAGCGAAGTTGCTCTCCCTCTCGGTCATCACTGGTCTTCCCATAAGGAGCCGAGACGAGATACTACTCAGATGTTTCGTGCCCTCTTCAATGGCCTGTCTAATAGTGCCGCAGTCACCTGCCTTCGCCGGTCTCGTAATATTCTTCGAGCTCCTTACGAAGCGCGGAACCTCGATATCCGAGAACCTGGAAAGTATGTGTCCTTCGTGCTTGGGCAGACTAAAGGTCTTGCATACGCAAGGTGCTCTACGATTGTCGCGTACTTTTTTTGATTATGTAGGAGCTCTACTACGTTACGGTTCCTCCTCCAAACCACCCGAATCCTAGTCTTAATGAAATCTGCGAGACTCCTGTCTGGAACCGCCTCTGCCACTACTTGGCTCAGTTAATTGACGAACTTCCGTCTTCTTGATCCTCGAGTCATAGGGCAGTCTCACGTTCACTCATTTCCGTAAGCTAACCTTGCACTTCCTCACGACCAACCTGTCCAGCTTCGTTCTCAGCCTATGTTTCGTTTTCTTTTCTGTAAACAATCCCGCCGTTCTATAGAGACTGACCAGTCTCCTCACTGTCAGACAGAGGAGCTGCAAGTCCGGCTTTGGTCTCCGAAGGAGGGACTCCAGAAGCTGCTTGTTCCTTTCCGTAGTGGTCTTCGCTTTCACAATCCGCATCACTGTAACCAGCCCTCCTGCCTGCAGGAGTGCCTTCGCGTCGAGTAGGCGGAAGACTTTTCCACCGATACGGAGTAAAGAGTCTCTGAATCGTCGCTTGATCTTCCTCCAGCTGCCCAGCCAGGTCGTTCCTCCAATCACGGCAATGTCTATGTCCTTCTCCCCGTAGTGCTCAGACAACCACTCTAGCCAGGATGTGAACGTCATCCCTCAGTATGTGAAAGTGCAAAGGCCTTCTGGGTTCGATTTTCCGGTCCTCCCTATCCTCTCCCTCCTGCCCCGTCGTCTCTTGATCCTACCCAGCTTCTCTCCCTTGCCTGTATCCCGCGTGTTCAAACCCGGGTTAAGATCAGCTATCAAGTATTTTTCAAATGCGTAATCATCCACTGTGTTGGTATGCCTGAGCGGGATCAGAACGTACTTGTCCAAACCGAACTTGCGCAGCCACCTATATAGGTGTGGCGCCTGCCCCAGGCTATCACTAACAGCATTACGACAATGCCCCCTCCATCTTTGGATGAGCGGTCTGACCGTGCATCCAATGTACGGTTTCTTAGTCCACGGGCTCACTATTGCATACACGCCACCTGTCTGTAAACTCAGTAGGTCTTTAATCTCATGGGATTTCCCCAGGAATTTCTCTAACCATCGAATCTGGCCTCGAGCCGCTAGCAGCAACGTAGTAGATGAGATAGCACATTCAACCTTCCTACCCATCTCTCCTAGATTTCTAAGCGCAGTCCTCCGCTTAAGTCAGTACCCCAGTCTATCCCAAAGCTCGGCGTTAGTAGGGAACCGTCAATCTGAATCCTCCGCGGGCTGCTCCGGTGCTGATCTAATGAGCACCGGTACCCTTCTCGGGGTAGGCAGTCCGCTCGCCTCTCGCTCCATCGTGAACGCTTTTCGAGGTGAACCAGAAGCTTTGGTCTTCTCATCTCCTTTCGACACCCCCGGGGTTTCCTCGAAACCTTCGTACGCCAGCTGCACCTGCCGCCTAGCTAAGATCTCCACGACTTCCGGCTTCGTCGTGTACTTCACCCCTTTCTGCTCGCAGATCCTCCTAAGCATGTCCGCCTTCTTAGCTGAGAAAGTCTTGTGTGCTGCAATGCAGTAATCAATAAGGCCTTTCTGGGAGCATTCAGCTGCCAGTCCTTTGTAGTGGCCATTTAGTGGCGTCTTCGGTTCGCCCCGTACCTCGTCTCCGGCGGCGTGGTTTCTCCCGTTCTCCGTACTATGGAGTCTACCGCTGTCGCCTGGATCCGTCTTCCCAGGCTTGGAGCATTCACCCCTCTCGAAAGTCCTAAGCGGTGTATCTCCCACCGCTCCCCTCCCTTTCACTGCTCCTTTCTTCCTGTGCTTGTTGAATGGCTTCTTCTTCTTGCCTCTAGGAGTCTTCCGATTGCGAGAAACGTCTGAGTCCGTCGTTGATTCATCCTCCGAGGAGTCGTCTTTTGTCGAGTCCTCGGTCGCCGTTTCATCGCTGGACTTGACCATCTTCTTTTTCTTCGCACGGCTCCTCCCTCGACCGCCGCCGGTTCCCCGGTTCATGCCTCGCTTCTTCCTGCCTGATTTCTTCGAGGATCCGCTAGCTTTTTCGACTACCTGGTTGTTCTTCCTCCACTCCTCCAGTAGCTCGACGCGAAGTTGCAGTTTGAATTCTTCAGCCTTACGGGCGAAATCCAAATTCCTCCTAAGCTCTTCCTCCTCCTTCGCTCTCTTCTCCTCTTCCATCTTGCGCTTCTCCTCCAGTTCCATTCTCTCCTTCCGCATTGCCCGGAAATGTTCTTTAATCTCCTCCAATTCTGGATCTCCCTGCGGATGCGCGTCACCTCGACCCTTCCTCGCCCAACAGTCCCGGGCAAAATGCCCGGGCTTCCCACAGTTGTAACATCCGTTGCCGTTTCCCCCGGTCCCCCCATTACCGCCACCTCCCTGATATCCATTCCAGTTACTCCCATTCTGCCCCCCGTTCGTGTTCGGAATCCCGTTGTTTCCAGATGCCTGCCCATTGCCCAGGCCAACCGCGTTGCCGCCAGTAGGACCATTGGTTAGAAACATCTTATTTACGTAAATCGTCTGTTCTCCCGTCAAGGTGTAGCCCGCCAACAGTCACGAATCCGACTAGTCCAAAATCCGCGGATCCCAGCGAACCCGAAATCTAGCAGTTCACTCACGCCAAATGTCCACAATCTCGCGGTAGCGGATCCTACGTCTCGTCCGGAGTGTTAGCAGAGTCGTTTCAATCTTAATCAGGAGAGAGAGAGAGAGAGAGAGAGAGAGAGAGAGAGAGAGAGAGAGANGAGAGAGAGAGAGAGAGAGAGAGAGAGAGAGAGAGAGAGAGAGAGAGAGAGAGAGAGAGAGAGTTTTCCATCGATAGGATGACAAACGCACCGGGCAACAGGTAAGTCTCCAACCCCGCGCCCGGCCTCGCGCTATTTGCATCGAGAGGATGAGCAAAATCGGACGAATCTACGACTATAACATGGAAATATACACCGCCAAACTTGTTTGTTTGGTTCCGTGTGTGTGTGTGTGTGTGTGTGTGTGTGTGTGTGTGTGTGTGTGAGAGAGAGAGAGAGAGAGAGAGAGAGAGAGAGAGAGAGAGAGAGAGAGATGGCCGGTGGGCGCCCACCTTCATGGCTGCCCGCCCGTCTCCCGCTGCCCGCCGCTGGTTCGAGCCGATGGTGTCCTGCGGCTGCTGTTCGGCGATGGTGTCCCGCCGTGTCCCTCCCTCCCTCCTTCGTCTGTCTCCCGCTTCTCCCACCTTCGACACCCTCCCCCCGCTGCTCCCCGCCTTCGTTGCCCGCTTCAAGATTCGAATGGTATCGTATCTCCCTCCCTCCTTCGCGCGTCAAGATTCGAACGGTGGGCGGGCGCGCGACTCCGGGTGAACTGCCATCCCCCTCCGAATTTTTTTTTGGGGGAAGGGTCTGCCGAATTCGGAATTCCGAATTCGGCAGGCCCTTCCCCCCAAAAAAATTTCAGAGGCGGGGCGTGGCTGGTTTCCCGACTCGCACGCTCCGGCCGTCATTTTTGCCGGGGTGGGGCCCCGCCTTCCTACCGAAAACAAAAAAAAGATAAAAAATTCCCAGACCCCTAATTTCGGCTGTTCGGGGCGCCGCGATGCGCTGTGCGGTGTGCGGCGCTACGTGCGCAACTCGTGCGCAAACCGGCACACCGTCGTGCGCCGCAACTATTTGTGTGACACATTGATGCAGTTCTGCTCCTGAGACTGGTTGTAACATCCGAACTGCTAAAGGCTGGTCCACCGACTAGTCATACCAATATGTCACCATACTCTCACTCTCTATCGTCCGTCCCTGTTATCAGTGGTTACTGCTATGAATTAGCCACGCACTGCACTGAGAAGTTGAGAATTCAGGTAGCGGGGCGCAGCGCTACCGGGAGCGCTGATGCCGGGTGCGCCCCGGCATCAACCACAGCGGCGGAGTGAGGCGGCGAAGCGGGATTGTGCCTGGTTCAAACCGGTTTTGCTCTGGCGCGCTCAAACGGACGAAGTGGGTATGGCGATGGCGAGACAGCGGAGCTGGTGGGGCAACGGAGGAGTTGGTGGGCTGAGTGCCGTGCTTACGGTAGCTGCTTATTAGGCGTTTTGCGCACGCGCGGGGAGCGAAGGTGCTTGTCTATACCGTATCACAGGTTGATAGGGAGAATAGACTGACTCCCGGAGTCTTTCTGGGAGTTATGCGTTCATACTCCATTGCTGCTGCGTTTTTGCCCGTGGCATAGAGCCTGTGAGGTGTCGTCTTTGGGGATGCCTGTGGGGTTCAGCAGAGTGAGCCTTGCGTGACCCGAAGTGCGAGTGGAAGTAGCTACCTGTCATCATCAGTGTCCTCGTCCATCAGCATCAGGGAGGCCCGCCATCATCGCTTCATCATTACTCGGGCACGATTCAAAGGAACATGGTCAAGGTTTTGTCATCATCATCAGGGCGGTTCGTCAACGCCATTAGGGTGCTGCTCTTCATCATCATCAAGGCGGTAACAGGACCCGCGTGCTGCTGGTCAGCAATATCTCGTCACCGGTATTAGAAATAAGGTAAGTTGGCTGGCGTGACAGCACCGTCGGGGGCTGTGGTCCTTACCATCATCACTGTTGCAGCTGCTCGTTGGCATCGTCATCAGTAGTGCCCTCATCAATGGTTTACTATTTTAGGGGCGCTCTTTCATTCCTATTATCATCATCACTGGTGCATCACCACAGGTGCGCATTATTAGCAATATCATCATCCTCATCATAGGGCGCCGTTCAACCTTATTACCATCATCCCTCATCATCATCATCAAGGTTTGCTGACATCATCAACCTTAGAGTGCTGTTCGTCTTTATCATCATCAGCAGCAGCATCAACATCATCAAGAGGGTGCGTTTCATCACCACCATCGATGTCATCATCACGATAATGGTTCGCCATCATCATCAGGGCGCTGGGCGTCATCATCATCAGGGCACTGGACGTCACAGGTGCGCGATATAAGTAAACCATCATCCTTCGCCATCATCATCAGGGCGCTGGGCGTCGTCATCATCAGGGCGCTGGACGTCGCAGGTGCGCGATATCAGTAAAATCATCATCCACATCATAGGGCGCTGTTCATCCCTACTGTCATCATCACTGGAGCACCATCACAGGTGAACGTTAATAGCAATATCATCATCTCTTGTCATCGTTCATCATCATTATCATCATCATCATTACCTTCACATCATTATCATCATCACCATTATCTTCATATCATCATCGTCATCATCATCATCATCATCATCATATTGTCGTCATCATCATTATCACCATCATCATTATCATCCACGGGACGTTGTGCGTCGTCATCATCATTAGTTGTAATCATGGGGTGCTGTCGGCACTGTTCTGCAGTACGAGCAGCGCTATCATCCTGTCCTCATTTCACCATTAGTTGTAATCACAGGGCGCTGACGGTACTGTTCTTCAGTACAATCAGAGCTATCATCCTATTTTCGTTTTCATCATTACTACCATCATCATCATTCTGTCATCATTAGATGTTGCGTTTCAAGTCAGTAGGTGAGTTGGGTCGTTATCATCATCTTTACCGTCATCATCTCTAGGAGGCTATTCGATCGCTATCCAAAAAAAAAAAAAAACCCACTCATCTACCCTTTTCTCCATCGTGATCTTTCGAAACTCGTAATTCTTTCATTCATGTCTGAAGAATGTGATCTGATGGGTGCGTTCCAGTCGGGATGGCTTCTGTAGTCACGGTTTGGTCTCTTTGGGGAAGGGTGGGGGTGGTATTGGGGAGCCCTACTTTACAGGGGCGCTGCAAGGTGGGAGGCGGTCGCCCTGTCGGGAGTGGGGCGGATTGTGTTTTGTCCCTGTCTGGGGCCGGGGTGGGAGAGTTGGTCGCCTTCAACCCCGGCGGGGGCAGATAAGGATAAGGGGAGGGGCGAAGGTATCCTCTAGGAGGGAATTGGCTGCCTTTGCGGAAGGGGGGAAAGGGAGGGGGTCTGTTCCAGGTTGGGGCCGAGGAGGTTCTCCTCGGCGGTGGCAGCATGGGACAGGGTGGGTGGGAAAGTTTTTTCTGGGCGGTGACTCGCGGAAGCTTCCTGGTTGGAGTGTTCCTTGTTTTCTGCTGTTGTGCCCGGTAGTTTGAAGAATTTCTCAGGTCTCTGAGGGTCTTCTCGTGGTTGGTACGAAGCTGCACTGAATTTAGACTGTTATATTCAGGACCTGTGGTTGTTCAAAGCCAGAAAGATGCTGGCCGGAGCCGGGGTGATGCCCTGTAACTTGCCGAGGGTGAGGGCATGAGGCCTTGTAGAGAGATCTGGGGATGCTATGCGGGGGGCATTCAAATGAACAGCTGCAGGATGCTGACACAGGACGACGCTGGCCGGAGCTGGAGTGAGTCGCGTTGCTCTGTAACCTAGCAGAGAGGGGGCGTGAGGCCTGGATGAGTTTGTCAGAGAATAAGTCAGTTTTGGTGAGCTTCGCTACGATCTGTTGGAAACCCCTTATATACTTGAGTGTCGGGAAAACTGCTGTGGATTTCTGTCAGCATCACCATCATCATCACCATCATCATTACCATCATCATAGGAATCACTACGTCATGGGTTTCATAGAATCTATAGAATCTGTAGAGTGTATCATCCATAGCATCATCATCATTGGCATCATCACCATCATCATATGAGGGACGCTGAGCCCGGTTTTCAGCATGTCTGGTTCGGTCACTCCGGGTAGACTGTGAGGACCCCGGCCTCAATCTCCCTTTCGATAATATCAGCCTTGGGCACTGGGCCCTTTTCTTGAAAAAAAAAAAAAAAAAAAAAAAAAAAAAAAGCCACGCACTGCACTGAATCCTCTGTGTTGCGGTGTGCTTGTGTGTACTCTGTGTTTGCCCAGGGCAGGCTGGCTGAATAAGTTAATATCATGTGTGTACCTGTGATGTGTGCTTTGTGTTGTACCAGCCACTGCCCCCGTGTCTTTGCGTTTCAGAGGCGTACTGTAGCCTCTGCCTGTGATGCACCTGCCTCTACCCTGCTTTCTTTCTGTCGTGGAGCTCCACTGTTTGCTCTGTGTTAACCCCAGGCGGGCTGGCTGATCGTGCTTCTGCATGCAGTGGATGCCAAGGCTACTTTTATGGATAATCCGTCTGTGGTCGACCTCAGTCTGTCGATGAGGTATCGTTGGTACCGAACTCGCCAGTGTCTCCTGTCCTTCAGCCATTTCACAGTCTATATTCTTACCCTCTATCCTGCACCGGGCTGTACCTTGGCCTCTGTGCCCAGGGAAGCCCAGTGTACTCCTATTCTATGACTTTGCTATGCTAGCTTCCGTTGCCGGCTTGTATTTTGACTGGTAAGCAGGCAGTGTTTTCCAGACCAGATGCAGCTCCCCACCAATAGACACGGATGGTTCCTCCAGTGCTCAAGTGCCAAGTTCCCGCATCAGATTTTCAATTGGAGTTGGGAAGTTCGGGACATCTACGTCATTGCATCTCAGGCAGTGCCAAAGCGCTAAAAGGCCCAGCATTAGATTTTCTATTGGGGTGGCAACATAGCATTGCAACAAAGACATCTAAAATCCTATTATTAAAACAAAAAAGATTTTCTATTGGGATTGGACGTTTGGGACACCTATGTGTAACATTGTGTGGTTCGGTTGTCCAGTTGATGTAGCTGAGTGGTTAGAGCACCGGTTGGAAATGCGCATTGTGGTATAAGGTCGCGGGTTCAAAACCCTGCAGCCTTGCGCATGGACACCGGCAGGGCATTAGATTGACGCACGGCTGGACACACATCCCCTTGGGCTGACGCATGGTATTATTACAGACACTGCCTGCGCACCACCCAAGGGTAGTCCATGGTGTTGTATGTTGGTTGTGGGTTTCACAGGGTTTGCTTGGGGTGGTGGTCCCGGGTGTTCTGATGTTCTCCCCAACCAGTCTGGCATATCACACGATCATTCCATTTCCGGTAGTTGCTCATACGGTAGAGTCTTGGATTACATGTTACAAGGTCACGGGTTCAAGCTGGGTTCGGTCCTTGGGGGGGGGTCCTTGTCCAGCTGGTCCCGTTCTCTCCTTGATACATGATTCACAGAGTACACATAGCTTTCGGGCATACACACATAGCTTGCGAATTATAAATCGCTTACAGGTTACACACACAAGGTTCCACACATGATACTGTCTACACAGATTCACAGAATATATACACAAAAAACAGGCTGGGGAGCTAGTCACTGGTGGGGTCTAGTGCCTGCAGTAGGTTCAGGTAGGTTGGATAGGGTGCCATTGGGTTGGGTGCAGTTCCTACTGACATTCGGATAGAACTGTCTGGTGGCTATATATATATATGGGGCCTGTAGTTCATTGTCTGGGCCTGGCGTCCGAAGTTCCCATTCAACAAGGTTCGTCCTATTCCGCTTCCACCAGGGCTGGGCAATCTATCAGCCCTTGGTGCCTATCACTGCTGTTGGGTCCAAGTTGCCTGCCCGTTGGTAGGGCAATGGTCCTGTCAGTGAGTGCTGGTCACACTGAGGTAGAATAACCTCTCATAAAGGATTTTTCTGAAGTGTTCAAAATGTAATCTGTATATGGGACGCTGGGCCCATTTCCCAGCAGGTGATGCTCCCCACCGATAGATGGAGCCTCTCCCCAGGTGCTAGTGGTGTCTGCTCTTACCAGCACCACTAGCACTGGTGGGGGTGTGTTTCTAAGAGAAAAAAA